TCTTTCTTGTCCAAAGCTCAACCCCTTAAGCCTCCACCCAGTAATCACTTCTGGGTCATATCACAAAATAAGTTAGTCGCGTGAAAATAAAACTAAGTCTCATCGAGCGGGTGAAATTTCACGTTTATCAAGGAGAATTGTTTGTCCAGTGTTATTTCACGACTATGGTTTTCGAATGCATCGGAAAGTTCACTATAATTTCTTACTGTAAATCATGCTCAGGCATGTTTGGGAAGGAGTAAGACGTCCAGTTTTCTCATCAGTTCGACGATATTTTTGTCTACCTTCTTCTCCTGATACAAACTCTTCGTTTTCGATCACGCTAAAAACGATACCATTGTTATCTCGTTCGGTATGTGTCCAAAAGACTTTCCTCGCCTTGAAAGCTGTTGTTTGTGTGCAATTATTGCGGGACGCGTAGACTGTTTTTTTTTGATAAAAAAAATCATTATTCTGACCATTCTCTTCTTCACCCTAGTGAAAAAGCGGCGTCCTGATGCCAGTGGTTCAGGTTCGAATCCGGACGCAGATGTCTTCTACTTCCCACGCACCATGGCGATCCCATTGCACCCTACTAGTGTCTGCCATACAGAAACGATTGCACTCCCTCTCTATTCAAGTTGTCAGTGGCTACTTGATTTTACAGTATGCTCACTTGGTGTCTACCTGATCACAGAGGCTGCACACAGTCCCCTAATGCCTTGGTATAGTGATTCACGGGCATTAAACCGTTCCACCACACCCAACTCCACAAGTTCTCTGCCAACAATAATTTCGTTTAGCACGAAAATAAATTTGAGTCTCGTGTGGCTTGGTTTGACAGTTTGGTTCACTTTGCGTACACTGCTTTCGATGACGGGTATCTACTTTTGGCGCTCCAATCCGGATTCGACCCGATCGGAATCATGCACCTCCTCTGCCGGCGCCAGCCATTCAAACTCCACTGAACAGGACGCTTCCACTGTCGAGTCGTTGTTAGTATTGTCCGCAGGTTTCATCTTTCTTGTTATTACTGGATTTATTTTGTCTTTGGACGGACGCTGCTTCGATTTCAATTTACATTCATCTTACGGCAATCTAACGTTCGGCACACATGCTGCAGTCAACGCCCCACTTATCACATGGGGTGCATTCCAATCCATACTGGCGCTCACTTGTGCTTTAATCGGTGCGGTTTACGTCTATCCTGGTCTGAAATTCGGAAAAATTTATTTGGATACTGTAAACAATGAATCAGTCCCGTGGATCAAGCGTCTGCTGTTACATTTAACCTT